AGAGAGAGAGAGGAGACAGAAGAGAGAGAGTAGGAGAGAGAGAGAGAGGAGAGAAGATGAGAGAGAGAGAGAGACGAGAGAGAGCAGAGAGAGAGAGAGACGAGACGAGGAGAGAGAGAGAGGAGATGAGAGACGAAGGGTTGTCAAGGAGAGGTGTGGATGAACAATTTGTACATGTAGCTGTGGCTGACAATAAATAATGCTATTATGAATAATAATTGAATGTGTATACAAATATATATATCTATCTGTCAATCAGATGTATTTGTTTTTTTAATAAGTAAAAGGCCTATAAGGTTCATTCTGGGTAAAAAAACGTGTAAATTTAATAGAAAGATATTTGGATATTCACTCGGATTAAAGTGGTAAATGTACACGAATATTCTCTGAGGTTTTAAAGCCATACTACGTGATAAGGGGCGGGACATCTCTAAGCAGGTTGACCAATCACAACAGAGCTGGCCAGCTAACCAATCAGAGCAGACTGGGCTCTGGTTTCAGACAGAGGGTGAAAAGAGGTGCTTTTTAACAAAAACATATTGACGTTAAAATGCCTCCTATACTTTATTATTCATCCTGTCCCTTCTTTACAAAACAGAACCACATCAGACGTGTTTATAACGTAGCATCCTGACATCCACGACAGAAGTTATAACATTTCACACGTGTGTCTTCCTTTCCTCCAGCTGAACTCCATCACTTCATCGAGCAGCACCCACACTTCGTCCAGGATCACCTCGATTTTGAAAACCATCCGCGCAAAAGCAGTCAAACTAAGAGCTGCAACGGACTCAACCACAGCAAAGAAGACTGAAGGATGGAAGATGGAAGACTTCAAAGGTCACCTATCCACTCATCGTGTCTTTTCTACATCAACATGTCTCCCCTCCTTATTTTCATCTGAAGTAACAGACAGAGAATCAGCACTTTGGAAACAGGGCTGAAACAGAGGGGATTATGGGTAATGCTGCAATGATCTGTTTGGTGTTCCAGCCAATCAGAGACAGGCTCTGGATATATCTGAGAGCTGTGATGTATCGATGAAACACAGTATAATAGGGGACTTTAATGCGAACCCCTTCCCTTCTTTATCTGATGTTTCTCTCCATTCCCCCATTTCTGGAGATATGTTATTTATTTGAAAATGTATTTTCTTATCTATGAAGTACGGCTATTTAAGAAATTAGGGGGTTTATTTTAGACATGCTGGTGGATCTCAGGCAAATGGACACTGCCCTTTATTTCCTGCTGCTCTTCAGGTTTAACTAAACATAATATCAGGTGAAAGGGATCGGGATATTTATCACCACTATGTGACACACACTAGAACAATCTGCCATACACTGATGTATACCCCATAAAGAAGGGCTTTGAGGGACCATGAACTGACTCAACATATGTTTTCTATTTGCCAGCTACCTTTATGGAAATAATACAAAAGCGGACCAGTTTTTCTAAGAAAAACATTTAATATGAGGATTGTTTAATATCTTTGGAGCTGTGAATCCATTGAACCAATGACGGATAGATATTACACACACTGTATCTTTGACTTCCTGATACTGTGGGTTTAATATCAATCTCTGATGGTTTGACTCATTTTGTACCTTTTTAAAAGCTGCAATGTTCATGTGAAATCTCTCAGAAAGAAAACAGATCAATGCTTTTAAAAAATAAATATATAAATCACGTTTGTGTTGTTTTTACTTACTGCTTGTATCCATGCTGTCACACATTCACTTCAAGGTGGACTACCTCAAAATGAAATGAAGAATTGATATGAAGTTGGTACTAAAATGTCAAAAGAACCTCATATATATAATTTAAATTATTTTTCAGCTGTAGATCGCTTTTTTTTTGGTTTTTCTGTTTCCCTTTATGACTTTAGGTGTTCATATGTCTTCAGACTGTTCCTCCCTTCTTCTGCTGTCATTATTATTCTCTCCGAGTCCACTAGGTGGTGCTATGCTGTCACCCATTCACTTCTAGATGGACTACCTCAAAAGAAAAGGATAATTGATATGAAGTTGGTACTAAAATCAAATGTCATAAAAACCTCATTATTTTATACACATTTGTTTCAGCTGTGGTTTTCCCTGGTGCCTTTTACGACTTGAAGTGATTATATGTCTTCAGACTGTTTCTCCCTGCTTCTGCTGTCATTATTATGTTCTCCAGTCCACTAGGTGGCGCTATGTTATCACACATTCACTTCAAGGTGGACTCAATATGAAGTTGGTGCTAAAATGTCTTAAAAACCTCATTGTTTATTTTGTCAGCTGATCGCTATTTTGTGTTTTTTTTCTGTGTCCCTTTTACAACTTGAGGTGATCAAATGTCTTCAGACTGTTCCTCCCTTCTTCTCTTGTCACTATGGTTCATTTTCTCCGAGGCCACGTGGGGGTGCTATCTCCATTAGCTTTCCTCACAGAGACACCATGCTCCGCTGCCTACCTGATGGACAGGAAAAGCATTACCTCATCCCTCCCTTTCATTCCTTCAGGTAAAAATAGACAGATTAAGCCCGGGCTTTGATGAGAGAAAAGCTACAGAGAAGGTGTGGAAGCTGGGAGAGAGGGATAGAGATGGAGGAGAGAGAGACTAAATGGATCGTTCTGCTCCAAATCCAATTCCTAATAGCTGGAGGGAGGCTGGGTGGGAGGAGGGAGACTGTGAAAAGAAAAGAGGAGAGGAAGGGGAGTGGAGATATCACGTCTAACAATTAAGACCAGCCTTCAGGGGCTAAAGAAGAAGCTTTGTTGAGAACATATAAATTGCTCATTGAGCAGCGGCTCTCTGCAGACTCTCAGATACTCCTGCCTCAAAGGAATCAGGAATAAAACCGAGCCTGAAGCAAATCTCACAGCCTGGATCTGTTCAGTATTTAGGGATCCATCTCCAGCCAAACAAACCCTGAAGTAAACACAAACCTGGATCTAATCCCAGCAGAGAAGTACACTCATCCTTTCCTCAAGTAGAAGTTCAGATACTCGTGTTTAAAAATACTCTGGTAAAAATAGAAGTACTGACTAAACTTCTTTCCTCAAGTAAAAGTAAAGAGGCTTTGAAATGTACTTCAGTAAAAAGTACCCATAACTAGCAGCTGCTTTAAAGAGTACCTGACCTCCCTTTATATTAATAGAACAATAATGTCATTGTTAGCTAATGAATGTTTCCATGCTGAACAACGGCAACATGACAACGTTTCCATTGGTCCCTCTTCTTTAGAGAAGACCAGGAAATGATGGATACACGGATCGTGTTCAAATCAATAGGCACGCAGTGACTCTAAAGAATAATGATCACGCACCAAACACACATTCAGACTAAAGGAACCAGCTGTTTGGAAAATGAGAGAAGTAGAAAGTACAGGTATTTGAGTTCAACATGTGAGAAGTAGAAAGTACAAGTATTTGAGTTCAACATGAGAGAAGTAGAAAGTACAGGTATTTGTGTTCAACATGTAAGAAGTAGAAAGTACAGGTATTTGAGTTCAACATGTAAGAAGTAGAAAGTACAGGTATTTGAGTTCAACATGTAAGAAGTAGAAAGTACAGGTATTTGAGTTCAACATGTAAGAAGTAGAAAGTACAGGTATTTGAGTTCAACATGTAAGAAGTAGAAAGTTCAGGTATTTGAGTTCAACATGTAAGAAGTAGAAAGTTCAGGTATTTGAGTTCAACATGTAAGAAGTAGAAAGTACAGGTATTTGGGTTCAACATGTGAGAAGTAGAAAGTACAGGTATTTGAGTTCAACATGTAAGAAGTAGAAAGTACAGGTATTTGTGTTCAACATGTGAGAAGTAGAAAGTACAGGTATTTGTGTTCAATATGTAAGAAGTAGAAAGTACAGGTATTTGAGTTCAACATGTAAGAAGTAGAAAGTACAGGTATTTGTGTTCAATATGTAAGAAGTAGAAAGTACAGGTATTTGAGTTCAACATGTAAGAAGTAGAAAGTACAGGTATTTGTGTTTAACATGTAAGAAGTAGAAAGTACAGGTATTTGGGTTCAACATGTAAGAAGTAGAAAGTACAGGTATTTTAGTTCAACATGTGAGAAGTAGAAAGTACAGAATTTGGGTTCAACATGTAAGAAGTAGAAAGTACAGGTATTTGAGTTCAACATGTAAGAAGTAGAAAGTACAGGTATTTGTGTTCAACATGTAAGAAGTAGAAAGTACAGGTATTTGTGTTCAACATGTGAGAAGTAGAAAGTACAGAATTTGGGTTCAACATGTAAGAAGTAGAAAGTACAGGTATTTGAGTTCAACATGTAAGAAGTAGAAAGTACAGGTATTTGAGTTCAACATGTAAGAAGTAGAAAGTACAGGTATTTGAGTTCAACATGTAAGAAGTAGAAAGTACAGGTATTTGAGTTCAACATGTAAGAAGTAGAAAGTACAGGTATTTGAGTTCAACATGTAAGAAGTAGAAAGTACAGGTATTTGAGTTCAACATGTAAGAAGTAGAAAGTACAGGTATTTGAGTTCAACATGTAAGAAGTAGAAAGTACAGGTATTTGAGTTCAACATGTAAGAAGTAGAAAGTACAGGTATTTGAGTTCAACATGTAAGAAGTAGAAAGTACAGGTATTTGAGTTCAACATGTAAGAAGTAGAAAGTACAGGTATTTGAGTTCAACATGTAAGAAGTAGAAAGTACAGGTATTTGTGTTCAACATGTAAGAAGTAGAAAGTACAGGTATTTGAGTTCAACATGTAAGAAGTAGAAAGTACAGGTATTTGAGTTCAACATGTAAGAAGTAGAAAGTACAGGTATTTGAGTTCAACATGTAAGAAGTAGAAAGTACAGGTATTTGAGTTCAACATGTAAGAAGTAGAAAGTACAGGTATTTGAGTTCAACATGTAAGAAGTAGATGGTTGATGTCGCCAGGGAAAAGAAAGTGTGGGGCTCTCTGCTGGAACTGCTACCCCCGCGACCCGACCACGGATAAGCGGGAGAAGATGGATGGATGGATGGATGTAAGAAGTAGAAAGTACAGGTATTTGTGTTCAACATGTAAGAAGTAAAAGTAAAAAGTCGTTATTTAAAATAAATAATGGAGTAAAGTACTGATACCAGAAAAATGTACTTAAGTACAGTAACGAAGTATTTGTACTCCTCTACTTCCCACCTCTGAGTATAACCATGCTCAACACATGGGTTTGAAATTGTTTGAAAATGACGTATGTTGACATTTTAGCTGTAAACCCTTTAACCTCACATACAAAACGTATAGTAAGTAAGAGGCTGTTGAAAACGCATGCGTGTTCCCTGAGTGCTTCATATTGATGCTCCGTGGGTTGAACCTATAGAATACTGCCGGGAACAGAAAATATGATGTCTTTTTTCTCTATATGGCATTGAAACATGATTTTGATCAAGGAGCCTTTACCATAAAAGACTCTCTGTGCTGCATGGAGTCCATTAGCCATTGGCAGAAGCAGCGAGGAAACACTTGTACTCAGAGATGGAGAGATGAGAAGAGATTGTGGCGGAAAGGTTCAAGGCGAGTATCAAGAAAATAAATCAGATCTGGGCCGATGCGATTGTCAGGTTGCAAACACCTGTCAACACTTCACATGGAGTTTCTGTGGGAGGAACACTAGCAAGGACAGTTTCAGTGATGATACATGGTATGAATGGAGATGGAAACATTCAGGTGAAAACACTCTGAGTGAGGGCGCTTAGAGAGCATCGCGTTCTTCATGTTTCTATCCATTTGCCTCAAGTCTTGAATCTAATGCATTCAAAACATGTCCTACCTTTAACCGTCCTATTGTGTTCGTTTCCCCCCTTACTTTGGCTTGACCAGTCCTGTCTTAAAGGTTCCCTATTATACTGTTTTTCATCAATGTATTATAGGTCTCAGATATATACAAACATTGGCGCTTTCACGACCGAGTACTTTTCCCGGGGATAGTTCCGATTGTTCCTAGGATTTTGCGTTCACACCAAAAAGATCTGGAACTTTTGCGAACCTTTTCAGTCCCTGCTAGAGAGGTGGTACCTTCCTGGGGAGAAAAAGGTTCCAATTTCTGATTGGCTGGGCGGATTGCAAACCACGCCCCATAAAACTCGGAAAAGTTTTTGTGAAGCCGCCATTTTATTTGCACGTATTAGCATTATTAGCATTAGCCCAGCGCACCAACGCAGAGAGACTAACTTATGGCAACACAAAAGAGAATGGGAGCGGTGGAGATGAGGAGGTGTCGGCGTTCTGGCGATTTACTCGGAAGGCTTCAGTAGAAGCTGCTGGGAGTCCCAGCAGCTTCTACTGAAGCCAGTCCCCAACTCCGGGGACTTCCGGCCGGGGACTCCGGGTGGCAGTATACGCCGTGAAGTGGTTTGCGGCCTGCCAGTAAACCCAAAGCAGAAGAAGAAGAAGTGACGTCAGCGGCTTCATTTGCGTAATCTTCCCTCAGGGACTTATTCCGGTGAGAACGCAATTTACTAGATAGTTCCAGGAAATAAAAGTTCCGGGAACTATTCCTGGGAAAAGTACTTGGTGTAAAGTGTTTGTCTGAAACACCAAACAGATCATTGCAGCATTACCCATAATCCCCTCTGTTTCAGCCCTGTTTCCAAAGTGCTGATTCTCTGTCTGTTTCTTTAGATGGAAATAAGGAGCCCCTCCCCACGCCCCTCTGAGAGAGATTTGGTTACAAAGAACACAATGGTGCTCTAGG